CCAGGCAGCTCTCCAGCCACTCTTCCCCAAGCCTGTAGCATTGCATGGGGTTGTTGTGACCCAAGTGCAGGACCCAGAACTTAGCCTTGTTGAACATCATACAGTTGGCCTCAGCCCATTGATCCAGCCTGTCCAGGTCCCTCTGTAGGGCCTTCCTACCCTCCAGCAGGTCAACACTCCCACCCAACTTGGTGTCGTCTGCAAACTTACTGAGGGTGTACCCTATCCCCTCATCTAGATCATTGATAAAGATAGTGAACAGGACCGTCCCCAACACTGAGCCCTGGGGAACACCACTCGTGACCGGCCGCCAACTGGATTTGACTCCATTCACCACCACTCTCTGGGCTTGGCCATTCAGCCATTTTTTTACCCAGCGGAGAGTGCACTTATCCAAGCCATGAGCAGCCAGCTTCTCCAGGAGAATGCTGTGGGAGACAGTGTCAAAGTCCTTGCTAAAGTCCATGTAGACAAAGTCCAAGTAGCTTCTGTATAATCCTTCTCATAAAACTCTAATTCTTTTCTCATGCAAATAGTTTGTGGGCTATGTATTAAAACTTCTTTATATTGTAACTTTCAGTTGTGAGTGATGTTACTTTTAGTTTTTAGTGATGAGTTTCTAACTTTGGAACAAAGTTAAAATCATCTAGAATGCAAGTAGGAGTTTTAATCTAAAATAGCATATATTTTTTCATTCTAATTCTTGAATAACGTTTAAAATACAAAAGCACTTTAAATTTTAAGTCATTTTTTTGTAGTAGGTCAGAACTACAAAGTACTCTTTATGTTGCACGTTAAAAGCAGGAAGAGGCAATTGGATATTGCTGTAGCTTATATGATAGAATGATGCACTGATCTGAAGCAAACTATTTATTTTTCATTATAAAACTGTCACTGTTAAAATAATAAAGAGAATTGCTTTTGTTTGCTTTTTCCCACTAAGCCGCTCCCCAAGCAGAGAGAGAAAGAGACCCCGATGGGAGGAGGACAGAGAAAGGTGGTCTGAGAACCAGAGCTCCAGCAAAGAGAAAAATTATACTGCTATCAAAGACAAAGAATCAGAGGAGAATGCATCTGAAAAAAACGAAGAGGAAGATGAGGAATTACTTAAGCCAGTTTGGGTTCGCTGTACCCATTCTGAAAGCTATTATTCCAATGACCCTATGGATCAAGTGGTATGTTTGTGAGAGAACTCTAAAATTACTGTACACAGTCCTTTATTGATTGTTTGATTACTTTATTAATATGAACCCTTCATTACCTAATCCTTCTCTCCTGCCAACCATGCCAGTCTTTTAACCTTGTTAAGGGCTTTATTTGTTGGTATTCTCTATTTTCATCAGTTTCTTCTGTCTGTTTTCATTCAGATTAGTGGTACATGGAAGACAGGTACTTTTTTGTCACCAGGAGGGAAGGGTCAGTTTTTTTTTTCATTATACCTGTATTTGAGCAAAGATGCCTCAATCACCATATATTCCCACAACCTTGGAGAAGTTTTGTACAGAGGCAGGAAGTCAGGATTCTTTGTACTTGACAATAACACTTTCTGGTGGAGCAGTGATAGAGGAGGGGTGCTTTCTGTTTTTTTATGGTTTTGGGTTTTGGTTTTTTTCTTGGTGGTTGGTTGGTTGTGGGTTTTGTTTTTTCAGAATGACATGGAGAGTGAATTCATGGTGATTCAAAGCAGGCAACAAAATGAGCTGAGCTTTGTGTTTCTTGTGTTTGATAAAATTCTTCTTAATTGCAAAATACTTCCACAGGTCTCCTGTTCCTTCTGAACCTGTTGAAAATCAATGCTGAGCTATACTAAATATGCCTAGCCATAGTTCTGCTTTGTTAGGCCAAAGGTTTGATGATAATGCACCAGCAAATGAAGTAATTTCTCTGCTAATTCATCTGACTGAGCAATGTAATGGTATGCTAAAGCCTTAACAAGTATTTCCATGTTTAATTGAACTACACTGAGATCCGTCTTTCCCCCCCTTGCTTTTCATTGTGAAATGCTGGTGCATGTTGTGTTCATGTGCTGTTTCAACACTGTCTTTTTGTTGTTGTTCTGTTTTTTAATTAACAGGGGGACTCTACTGTGGTAGGAACAAGCAAGCTCCGAGATCTGTATGAAAAATTTGACGAGGAGTTAGGAAAGCGACAGGCGAAGGCCAAAGCAGCCAGGCCACCGTGGGAGCCACCAAAGACCAAGCTGGATGAAGATTTAGGTAGGCAGAAATGCTGACAAAGCTCTGAAATGGAATAATCTGTAGTTAACCTGTTGTTGACAGTTGTTTGTATTTAATAATGTCAGTAGGTTAATACGTGTTTTTTAAATCCTTCCTTTCTGTTGCATATCCATGGGAGTTTTACTGTTGCTTTTGACTGAAGTAGAGCTAGATTCTTTACCCAGAAGGCGTAAGGGTATCGAGCACTGCCTTATGCTAAAGTCTCTTCCATGGCATGAAAGCACCCTGAGCATGATCAGATAGGCCAAAACATCGTGCACAAGAGGCTTTGAGGAGCTCCTGGTCTTATATTTCTAAAAAGGAAGCGAGAGTAGTAGTGATAAACTCATATGGCTGCTTGTTATGGCACTGAGTTCATCTTTCTTCTGGATTGTATATTGGTTGTGCAGCTCTGCTTACTATGATCTTATGCAGAAGTATCAGTTTTCAACACATAGTTTGTCTGCATTGTCATGCACCACTGATATGGATCTTCTTGCAGTGAAATAAGTCATACTTTTTGATAGCAATTTGTCTACTCAGAAGTCAGTGAAAGCTGTTTTTCTTATTTTGTTTTGTGAGAACTGCTAGCTGTTCTTATACTTCCAGCATTTCAGTGTTTCATAGTGTGTTTTTCAGTCAGTTGCATTAGTTCAAGAAATTCTTAGGCATATCACGTTAATTTAGATACTCCACTGGGCTTGTGTTTTAACTGATGCTTCATGTCTACCCATTGAGTTGCTTCAGACTCTCATATCTGAACCTAGTAACTCTTTAAAAGTCACATATCAAAAATTCTAAAGTTGAATTACAGGTATATAATGACACGGTCAGTTACGTGTGGGCAGTATGAAAAGATACAAGAAAGATGAAAGAAAAATAATAAACACAGATTAAATAAAATGTGAATTCCACTTTTGTAAAGGAAGCACCTTTCTCACCTTTTTTTGAGCAGCAGATTTGCACATATTTAAATTCACTGAAGAATCACTATCAGAGTTAACTGCAGGGTTTTTCAGGAGGTGTATTTTCATGTGGATGAAGCGAGGACAAAACTACTGCATTCTACATACCTGTGTAAAACTTCATCAGATCTCTGCAGTGAGAGTTCCTTTGCTGCTCCAGGCTAAAATATAGGGCCAAGAGCAACTTCTGTGTGTTTCTTTTTCCACTCTTTCTGGAGGACCCGAAGGCTCTATGTTTACACTGGTCCCCTGGGCTGACTTGGTGTCTGTGCTGGCTTCTCCTACAGCCACGCTTCTGTAGTGTCTATTAGTTTGTCTTATTTTGTACTTAAGTAAATGCTGTCTCTGTTCTGTCTTGCGTTAGCGGTACTTGTGTACTGTAGTGAGATAGCGATGCACTTGAAAAGCGCTTTTAGGTCATGAAAGGCTGATTTCAGTACATGAAATCCAAAAGTTCTGCATTGGTCTTTCAGAATTCCAGTTTACTCTCACAGGTCCCACACTCATTTTGCACCTAAAATTAGACTTATACAACTGATTAATGTTTATCAGAGAACTTTTAAAACTCAAGTGTTTGTGAATATTTGTAGGAATATACGTGTATGCACATTCAGACAAAGCTTGATTGCAGCTGAGCATATATGACCTATGTAAACCATATGTCTCAAGGACATATTTTAACACCACCTTATGCTGAATTATGGACTGTATAAAAATACGTCTTGATTTTAAAAAGAAAAAAAAGGAAGCATATTTTGCTAGTAATATTCTCTCATTTTCTCTCCTTCTTTTTCTTTTAACTAAGGAGAGTCTTGTATTCAATAAATACACATATTTTAAACCACAGTTTCACAGTATTTCAAAGCACTGGCAGTGTAGTAATATCTTTTCTCTTAAGTCAAAACTTAGAAATGGAAGAAATGTTGCATCCCTCCTTCCAAGAATAATAAATCTTACTTGCTTCATGCTATATGTCTTGGCTATGAAGGCATTTATTTAATTGGGAGCTGAGATCATCTGTGGAAATGACTGACATTACATATGTAGTAAAGGGGTCACTTGTAAGTACCACAGGAGGTTAGAGATATGTGAGACTGGGCTCTGGGTTGTTTGTGGGTTTGGTGGGTTTTTTTACTAAGTCCAGACACTTATTAACATTACTTTGACAAGACCACAAAGGAGACATTTTAACAAGTCTAAGACCATCTTCTGTTTTTTTTTTTTTTTTTTTCTTTAACGTTGTTCTCCCCTCTGATATATGAGAAAAATTGTTTCAGTTAATACAAAGAAATAAGTCTTAAAAAAAAGTAAGGAGGAAAACTCACAGAACAGGGCTTCCAAAAAACTTATGGCTTGATTCACTCAGCTAGTAGTTCCAGGTTTTCTTCTTGTCTGTGGTTTCTAATAGGTGATAATGAATTTATTAGAAATAATTGATTTTGAAAAATGAGTCTAGCAGTACATGTTCTATAATAATGCTATCCATATGTGCAGTTTTGTAACTCTTAAATAGACAATATCTTGCTACAGACAAGCATTTGTAGGTAAAATAAGACTAGGCATAAGCACTTTGCTCATAGCAAGCAGAATTAACTTTTAAACAAGCGGTTCTGCTTAGCTCATGCTAATGACCTTATGTGTATTCTTCTTTTCTCTCTCTCTTTTTTTGCCTTTTTTTTTTTTTTTAACTTTATGGTCACACTTGTGTTTGTTATAGCTCTATAATCTTTAATGTCAAGTAACTGAAATTGCTCTTCTACATGTGATCAGTGGTGCTCCTGGACATCCGAACAGCAATCTGATGCATGCAAACAGGTGCAGTTGTTGCAGGCATTTAATATCCATAGCATTTGCTGTCATTTTTAAATAAAAATGCAGTTGCTGTCCCTCTTCTCGTTAGTGTGAATGTCATGCACAACTTTAATAACTTTCAGTATGCCACACTTAGATATGTCATGTCAGAAAATGCATTGCTACTGGGGAGGAGAGTGTGTGGAATTATTTTTCAGCTGACTTTATTTTCCCTGTGTGAATCAGAGAGCTCCAGTGACTCAGACTGTGACTCTGAAGATGACAGCAGCTGTTCTAGCAGTTCAGATTCTGAAGTTTTTGACGTCATTGCAGAAATTAAGCGTAAAAAGGCACACCCTGATCGTCTTCATGAAGAACTGTGGTACAATGATCCAGGACAGGTACGGTGAAAGGAAAAAGTACTGTGTGTCTGAAAGTCAGTCTTCCCCGTAGACCTAAAATTTTACATTGTTGTCAAACATGCTGAGCGCCATCTATTTCGATACGCATGTTTTACCCCCCTTTTCTCTCTCATCTTCTTCAAAGCACTTCACTTTTGATTTCAAGAGTGTGGTTCCAGCTCATGAATCCTGGGGATTATTCAGATGGAATCACGTCTGAACGTGTTAATAAAACCTGGATTGCTAGCAGTGTACTAATGCTGTCCTCTTAGCCCTGAGATAAAAGTACACAGATGAATTCTAGGATGGAGAAAAGGCAGCATGTTTACCTCCTTTACAAATTTTTCACCTAAAAGCTTTCAGCTCATAATGATAAATAATGTTTTAAATATGCGTTTAATGCTCTTAATTTCTTGTCTAATGGTTCTTTTGTAATTCCATGGAGATTATAGTTCTCATTAAATGTAATTGCTGAGCTCATGAAGTGTTGTTTTGAATGTATACATTGCACAGAAGACTAGTTTTTGTTTGCAAATTTGCCATCTTCATCTTTCTTACTTAAATATTTTACAGTCTATTCTAACTCATTGTCAAATGGCATGTCAGTAAATTTATTTATATGGCACTTTGTGTGATGCATGAGTTTAGCATGCAACAAATCATAATGTGAAGAGATACTGCAATGATTATTGCCACTGTGGTAATTCAAAGGTCTGTTGAATATTCTATCTCTGACTCATGTTTATGCTTCTAGTTAAAAAAAAAATAATTTGACTGATCATAGCTAGCTGGTTTTGTTTATATGGAAAAGAAAATTAGCAAACTGTTCAGATATTTAACTGAAAAAAATTGTGTAGCTCTTGGGCACACTTCAAAGTAATGTTCTAGGCCAGAATATTAGCTAAATAAAAAGAAGTGGAGTAACTGTAGGATGAATAGATTAAGCAATGTGTGGTTTATGAGTTTC